GAGTGCACATGAGGAGGCCCAATGTCCACCTGCCACCCCACTACCAATCCAATAATTATTGCACTTAGGTCCGTTCCCCCCTTAATCTTAGATATATTCACATATGTACAAGTCTGTATTTAGGCTTGTATGTATGCCCTTGTTTCTTGTTTTTGAAACATGGTAGTCCATTGTGTGGAGATGTCTGGGACCTGGTTCGCATGGTAGAAAAGAAAAATGAGAGGATGAATTTCTTCAATTAACATGACTAGTGGGGTTTGTTATGTCAACATTTAGTAGCATTGTAAAACCAGGAACACTGCACACTTGTTACCTAGGAAATATTTGTTTGAACACACATTTCAGAATTTGTACATGATTTATTTAATAAACCAATTAAAGATACAAAAAAGTTTAGAGGAAATCCAAAATTTAAAAATTTTTTAAATACAAATTTGCTCTGCAATATGAAAACATACATTAGATCTCTAAACACTTTTTTTCACCTACAAAAATGCTTCCTTGCTACACTAGGAAATTTTAAGGAAACCATTTTTCTTGAGAAAGTAAATATACATTATTTACAGTTGGAAATCAATCTAAAAACTTTCATTTCAGAAACTAGGATATAAATGCATCTATGTGTGTGTGTGTATATATATATATATATCTTTGTATGCAATCCCCCACCCTTCACCCCCAATTTAAAAAAGTGATCCAAAACATAAAGCAATTCTGCGTTTATAGCAACTGATGACTTGGCTAGATTAGCCCAATGTTCAAGTTGCTTTCTGGGTCCTTCAGTCTTTGACTCTTTTACCCTAGCAGTACATCATTAAGCACTCAGTAATGGCCCAAGACAGCCCACAAAGTTAATGAACAAAACCTTTAGGAAGAATTTAAGCTTATGGCAGATATTACTGATAATAGAAGAATGGATTTTGTGGAGCCACTTTTTTTTTCTTCTGTATTTTAGCTACATTTACATTAAGATATAACTTGGTAATGTTTTTTCATTTCTAGGAAATTAAAGTGTAGGAGTTAAAGCCACAAAATTTATAATTGAAGAAAAATCAGATGTAGTCCAGTCGAACACACAACTTCCCACGTCCTTTTCTGAGCAGAACTGAAGCCCAGTAAGAGTAAGCGGCTTGCTCAAAGTTACACAGCGAGTTAAGGAAAGTGGCTCACAGGCAGGAATGCAATCTTGCTTCTGGAGAGAATTCCATAGCAGTCTAGATTCAGCCACACGGTGGGCATGATTTAAATGTTCTACTTTACATATCCAGAGTTCATAGTGCTACCAACTAAAGTCATCTAAATGAAGCCATAATTTTAACAAAGCATAGAATAGGTTCTTTGCACCTGAAAGCATCAAGGCTTTCTTAACATGCACATGGAATGAAAACAGTTCTTACATAAATTTCCTGTTACCTTACACTTAAGTACTTACTTACAAACACATCAGAAAGTTTGTTAAAATGTAAAATTAGAAACGTTTTAAAATGTGTATCGTGTAGCAACTGAAATAAAACGAAAAAGAATGCTTTCATAGTATAAAAATGTCTGTTCCTTCAAAATTGGATTTGGAAACCTTTGGAGAACAAACAAAAAACACTTGGCTTTCCCCTCCCTCATCCAACAAAGTCAAAATTAACTCTCAATTATAACATTAGTTACAAAAATGAGGAACCCCTGCTGAATTTGTCATAGAATCAGATCATTTGCCAACAAGTGGAAATGTTCAATTAAAAAACAATCATCTATAATTCCTTTGGTGTAAGAATTAAAAAGCGTTGGGCTCCAGCAGTTCATTCTGCTTCACAGCCACCTGCGAGGTCAGTCCATTGGAGCTGGCCACCACCATCACATAAGGGTGGGGCTCTGCTTTCTCTGTGTCTTCCCTCAAATTATGCCCCGCCTCCTTTTTCTCTGCTTCCTGAGCAAGCGTTTTTGTTTCTTGAGCTTTGATAACTGAAGTGATGACAGTACCAGGCGGGTGAGCAACCAGCTGTGAACTTCGAGGAGAGAAGGTCACCACAGGGGTGGTGGCACTGAAAGACGGAGATGAAGCCAGGCTGCTGGTCCCATTGCAAATGGACTGAACGCTGCTAGTAAGAACCTGCTGAACGTGGGCAGGGCTGAAGACAATGGAAGGAGGAGAGCCCTGCTTTGAGGACTGCAGCAAGACATTTTCCTTCAGTACTGTCATGGGCTGGGAGGACGGAATGGCTTGGAGGATGAACTTCTGCGAGCCAGCACTGGATGACGGATCCGTGCTGGCTATGACTGTTGTAAGTGGCACTGTCTGCAGGGTTACTGTGTGCAGCTGCTGGCTCCCTGGGGAAACCACCACTGGGACTTGGGCTGGAGCCTGGATAGTCCTATTGAGATTGCAAAATACAAGTCAGAAAATTAGCATGTTTCTCATCATTTAAACCTCGACTCTCAGCAAGTCATCAAGACAACATACTGGCACAATACGTTTTCCAATGCTATTTCTCAAATTTTCAATACAACAAAAGTAATTTTTCCAGATCCCCTGGTGGTTTACAAGTTGAGCTGTGATCGACATGCATGGTCGGCAGTTTGAAACCACCAGCAGCCCAGAGGGATAAATACAAAGCTTTCTACTTCAGTAAACAGTCTCAGAACCCCACAGGAAACCCACCAGGGGTCGATATGAGTCAGCATTGACTCAATGGCAGTGAGTATGGTTTGGAGTTTGGTAATTCAACACAGGGGACATAGCTGTAAACTCTTCAGCTGTTTACAGTGATACCATCTGGAGAGTTTGACAGAAAAAATGTCTGCATAAAGTGATCCATTAAGGAGCCCTGGTGGTAGATTGCTAACAACCAGGATGGAGAGTCACACCTATTAGGAGATTATTGGGAGAAAGATGAGGCTATCTGCCTGCTCATAAACTCTACTTAAGGTAGCCAGAGTCAGAATCAACTTGACCCAAATCACAAACGGGGAAGCAATTTTGTTGGGAGAACAAGGGAGATATAAAAATACCTGGCAAAGGAGTTATATGTGAGTTACTTGTTAAAACATCCGAGGAAATTTAAAACAAATACTTCAGTTATTATTTAAGTATTTGAGGAATAATATCAATGTGCTGTAGTTCATGCATCACAGTGAAAAAATTCAAATGACAATAATTGTTTTAAACCCATTTTACTCTATGTAGTTACAGATGAAGAATGTTCTCTAAAATATGCAAAAACAAAAAAAATGCCAGTCTTAAATGTATATGTGATGAAATTCTAAAAAATGATGCAAATATTTTATAAGCAATATATTTACATGAAACAAGTCCAAGTCATGCCTGTAATTGGTTGGGGCTCTGAGACCAGCAGAGAGAGCCAAAGGCAAGCTTTTGGAAACATAAATAGAAGTGAAGTTCAGCAATTTCACAAATTTTAGTCAGAGTTAAAATTTCCTGTATATAAAATTCTTTGGTCCTGTTTAGCAGTGGCAGTTTATGTAAGGTTGTTCAAGTGATCTATCACAAGTCAATCTAACTGTAAAGCTCACAGCTGTGGGATTCACCTTTTTGACCACTGTTCCTATAAAACAAATCACAGTTGAAAAAAACTCGACATTTGGATCTCAATGGTGAGCTCTGGATTTTTGAAAGTTGTGCGGTGGCAATGCCAAATAAGTAAAAACGGACTAGTTCCTATAAACATAATTATTGCTAAATTACTCAAAAGCTAAATTGTGGTACGTGACAGATATGGGACTTGTCACATGTGAGAGAACTTACATCATGAAGGAGAAAAGAAATGGGCCAGATAGAGAAAGAGCAGAATCAGCTCAGCTCCCAGGTGCAAATGAGGTGGGAAGGCACAGGCTACAGGGCGCTGGTTACTCCTCTAAGAGAAGGACTCCCATTTTCACATTGCCACCCAAGTCTCCATGATGAGGATCAAGCTAACGCAGAATCTTAACAGCTTTTTTGAATGACAGAGCTAGAGTGGATGTGAGTTGGGTTATAAGGACTTAACAGGGAGTGCGGTATGCAAAAGTGCCTGGTAATGCACTTGTTAAGTAAGCATTTAGCGGCTAACCTAGTAGTGCATATGTTAGACACTTGGGAGGAACTAGGTTTGCTGACCCACGGAGCTGGACCTGAGTGTCTTCTGGCTTACAGTTTAAACCCAGCAGTGTCTGTATAGTTTTTAGCCTTGAAAACCCTATAGAGCAATCAACTCTGTCCCATTGAGCCATTAGAAGTACTTGCCACCAATAGGTTTTGGTAGTATATATACAGTAAGGCTGGAGTCCGTGGGTGGGGCAAACCATTATGCTTGGTTGCTAACCAAACGGTTGGTGGTTCAGGTCTAACTAGAGTGGCCTCAGACGAAATGTCAGTGGTAAACTCCCCAAAAAACCAGGCACTGACCATAATCAAAGGATGTGAATAGTCTGGTTACCAGACAGAGAATAATGTAAAGACAATTATAGTAGATTAAAATGAAACATCTGATTTGAATGGTTAAAATGTAACATCTAATTTGATCCCCTTTTTGAGTGGCAGTTTTATAACATTGCCAGAGAAGGGCAAAGGCCAAACCAACAGGCTACCTGTGGGTACAACAGAAAAGAAACTGTCCTAAGCGACCAATTGTCGCTGAACATTTCTCACCTGAATTATAACCTGTTTACTTCCCCAAAACTGCATAATCATGAGCATCCTCTGAGTTCTGTCTGGCCACTGCAATGGATTATCAAACCCAGCCCTAGAAGTGTCCTCCATAGGAGGAATGGCCGTTGTCAAAAAAACAGGAAGGTGTGTGCAGGCGTGTGCATGTGTGTGAAGGCAACGTCTGACCTCTACCTTGTGGCAATCAACCACAGGAGCTGGAGTCAGGGGTGGCCCCCAGGCTGTTTTCACATGCCAGGTCATATTTCGAAAATAAAAAAGACCCAAGAGCTTCCCAAGCCACAGTTTAAATACAAGTACACACATTGAAAGAGTGCTTAGCAGTGAATGAGCACAGATCTATGTATGAAAATGTATAGTATAGCCTTGCCAATGTAGACTTATGTATTGAGGACGTAAATATGTGCCATGCTATTCAAAGTACTTTCATGTTATCATCATCCCCGCAACCTTAGCACTATTATTTCCATGTTTCCTCCGAGAAAATGAATGCCCAAAGAGTTGAGGAGGTTCTATTAGGTGACAATAAGAGGCCATCTGACTGCAGAGCTTAGGTGCTTAACCTTTATAGTAGACTGCCCCTGCTCATGTATCCTGAATAAGCTCTACAAATGATGAATATTTACTATCCTTTCAACTGCGGCGAACACAACGCTCTAATACACCCCTCTTCCTTCCTTTCTTGTTGCCCCATTCAGGGGTCACACAAGCAATGGCATACATGGGAATTTCCCATACTGTTAATTAAGTTACCACCAACCCCTTGGTGCCTTGGGTCAGATTATTTAAAAAGTGTCCCTTTTTTAAGGCACCTGGCTACCACCTGCAAGAAACTACTTATAGTTGTCTACAATGTCTGTGATGTAAATATATTGGTTTAAACAAATTCTAAAATTTAAGTTTTACTAATAAAAAGTCATTGATTAAAGGATAACATATTGACTACATGTGGCCGAGCTCCCTACCCTCTCCTTGACTCCGTTTCCATCCCTCATTGAGCTATGAGGCTCCCACAGATCAATATATGCAAAATGTATGGCACAGCATTTGCTTTATGTCTTGTTATAGTAACAGTTTAGCTAAATATTAGGAAATATACATTCTATTTTCTGCCAGTCACAGAAAAGTCATGAAAAGTCTGCTTTATAAGTAAGATATTGTCAAGAAAGATATTGTCAAACCAATGTTCATTTTCTTGGGACTCATAATATGCTTGTGCAGGATAATGCATCTGTTCTTAGAAGTTGCAAGTTGAAATAGGGGTGAAATGTCATGATGTGGTCAACTTACTGAACAAATAGTCCAACGGGAAAAAAGGTATAACAAACAAAGACAAAAATAGACAAAATGCTAGCCATCTGTGATTTTAGGAGGGCAGAAAGTAGGTATTTGTTATATGACTTCAACATTTCCAACATTCAATTTTGAAGCTTTTCGCAGTAACCTGAAGAAATTATAAAAATGCAAATACAAAAATGAACACAAGGCAGATTCTAGAATTAATTCTTCTAATAAAAAACTAGTCTTAGAATATGATAAAACTTTCATGTGATATGTACAACTGGCTTGAAATTTATTTAATCTTTCTATATATGTAGTAGAGAAGAACAAGATATAAGCAAAAATTAATTATACTTTAGGGCTCTATGCCTTCAAAGACATTGTCAGTCACTTTTTTCTTTCAACATCTAGTAATTTGGGGGGATACAATGCATTCTACTAAAAATTTAACTGCGTAGAAATTTTGAAAAATTTAAAAACACAAACAGGTAAGAGTTACTACAATAAGGATGCATGACTTAAAGTTTGAGGAAATTATTTTGTGTCTGCATGCTACATATAGTCCACTCTGAGAACCTATTACTCTAAGACATAGTTCCCAATCCCCCACCCATCACTCATTGCCCCCCACTTGGGGAAACACTGCCCTAAAAGAACATAGGGAACAAATATATATGCTACTCAAGATAAATTCAGTAACTATAACTGCATGCTACATGCCAAACACTGTGCTGCGCACTGGAGAAGATAGCAATGCATACCACCTGGCTTGTACAGATTTAAATATACAGGAGGAGACAGTGGTTGAGTCAACTGAAATGCCAACGCATGTGTACGCCAAACTGAGGCACAACGACCAGTAAGGCTTAGCCTGAGAGCCAGGAAAGCATGGTGAGGGATACATACAAGGCGACCACACGAGATGTTCTCTGTGCATCACGGGCTTAACAGAAAACAGTATCACTGACTTCAGAAGGAGGTCCTAGTGACTACTGACCATTACACATGTCCTATCAATACAAATGCAACATCGAGAGCACTGAGCCTAGAAGCTGAGGAACCACATATGCCATGTATGTCCACTAGACAGCCAGTTAGCCCACGGAACCGACAGGAACTAGAGGAAACAGGAAACACTAGAAGCACAGTGGGATGACCGCCAAAAGAAGCACTCTTCTATAAAGGTTCAAGGTGCCATCAATCACCCCAATCACATTAGGGGTGTGTGTGATTGAGCTACATGTTCCTCTTAAGAATTAACTATGAGAACTAGAATTTCATAGATATCACAAGCTTTAACTATACAAAACTTAATCATCCAAGTCTGTCTAGATTCTAAGGAATATTAACTTACTTCAAGATCAATTGAACAAAAGCCAGATTTTTATATTCTGGAGTATACAAAGGAGGACAGTCGCTGACTAATGAAACTAATCAGTAAGTCACTTTTATTGGATTTGGAAAGGCTCTGATATTTTATTGTAATTAATTTTCTGGGAATTCATGACAATAAAAAACAGAAAACCTAAGTGACATTTCAAAATGCCCAACTAAATCTAAGGCCCACACCCTATCCCACCACCATTAGCTGAGCACAATGCCAAATTTCTACAAACACCAGTCAAAAGCAGACTGAGCTCTCTAACAATTTCACATAGTTCCTGGTAAATGTGATTTGATTTTTTAAAAATTAACATTAAATAAACAAAAAAAGATCCATCTAACTTCTCTCTCAGTCTTTTAGCCTTTTAGAAGACAGACAGAGAGAGAGAGAGAGATTGCAACCTTAGAGCCCTAGGCCTCCTACCTGCTTAAATTTTGGAAAAGTTCCCAAATAGGATCATTCCAAGGAATAGTTTGTTTTTTGAAACTCAATGTGTGCTGAATGATCATGATATATACTCACTGATATGGAATCTTTATACCTTTTGACTTGGTTAAAAAGAAAAAAAAAAGAAAATCTGCAATCATTCTCTAGATTTTCTTCAATCTGAATCACTCCTTGTATAGACCAATCCAGTTATCCACAGATATACTGCACTAGACCTAAATTGGAAAATAAACCCATGATTAAAATAAGGAATTCTTGGTAGGGGTGGAGGTAATGTTTATTGCTTCTGCTGACCAGGAGATCTAGCTCAGAAGGATCTGATGTGGCTTCATCAGCAAGACAGCTAAGCGCTTTGCTCTGTGCCTCACTTTCCCCTGCTGTAGAACAGGGACATTAACTCAATCCTAGGAATTTTAAAATACAGTACTTTTTAGACTGGTGCCAACCTGTGAATGGATACTGCTGGTCCATGTGCAGAAAAGTAAAAAAATTAAGAGTGAGCACTTAGCAACTTTTTAACAATCGGCCAGTCATTTATGTCTACTAAATCTCAAAGTTTTTTTTAAAAAGTTCTAGCTTTAAACCTAGAGCTTTTATTTTCACTTCTAAATGACTTAACCAAAATGGTATCACCCTGGTGGTATGATGGCCACTTCGTTTTCATACCTAATACTCGGAACAGAGGCATGTACAGTTTCCTCCTGCATGCTATTGGCTCCGGCTGCTTCTCCTTCTGGGGCAGTCTGTGCTGGCTGCACGACGTGAACAGTCCGGAAGAGCTGGGTGGGATACACAGGCTGTGCGTGCCGCACGGTCCTCACCACTTCAGGTGGCTGTGCAACTTCCCCAGGATCTTTGGGTTTTGCAGCTTTCGAGGTCCCTGGCTTGAGAGGGGCAGCAGCTCCTGCTTTTATTCCTGTACTTGAAGGTACCCTGGATCGGCTTGCTTGGTTCCTACTTGACGTGGGCGCTGAAGTCAGTGACGGGTCGGACGACTCTAGGCTGGAACCTGGATCCTCATCATCTATATAAATAAGATCTTTGGGCATCTCCTTGAATTGATACACCAATCGCTGTCCTTCCACTTTGGCCAGAATACCTCTTTGGTAATAGTACCTATGGAAAGCAGGAACTGCATCACCTTTTCAACCCAGCGTTAAAATGACAGACAGTGATCCTGCTCAAAAACAAAAGCTCAAGGTTGAATGTATGCAGTAACACAGACATTTACACTCAGAGATGGAGAAAAGTCCTTACTACCAATTAAATCTAAAATCAATTCCAACTAAGAAGTATTATCGCCAAAGTATATGGGCATCGGGGCCCTTTACTTTCCATCCTTCCTGTACCCCCTGCGACTTGCCTTACTCAGTTAGACTCAGATCCACAATGCTCCACTCTACCCCCAGGAAAGGGTTTCTCCTCCAGGTTCCCGTAACATGCTTCCTAAGTTGCCATTCCATTCGGTTATTAGACTGTGGTTTGAGAATGGCACATTTAATGATGTACAGGAAGTCAATTAAATTTTGTGATCAATTTAAATTAAATCAAGCAGAACACAACATATAATCTTAAACACACACATCAACATAAATAGTTCTAGTTTAAGAAAAAAGTTATCAAATTCACTTCTTTAAAAAATAAACTTAACATCATTTAGATCTCTGCTATTTCTAATATGATTCTCAAAGACAAGTGTATCTCGAATAGATTATATAAGCACAGAAAAACAGTTTAATAATAAACAAATACATATTTGTGGAAAATTTTCTCAATGCCCAGTATTACTCATCTGATATTACCACAATATGTATCATATGACACTTCAGATTGTGTTGAAAAACGAACTTGCAGTAGCTGCCAAATCAAGTCAGTTCTGACTCACAGTGACACGAAGTACAATAGGACGAACCACTGCCGGGTCCTGTACTAGCCTTACAATGGTTATGGAGGAGCCCACTGCGACAGCCACTCTGTCACTCCCTCTCGTACAGGGTCTTTCCTCTTTGTCACTTCCCTACTTTACAAGCAGGATGTCCTTTCCCAGGGACTGCGCTCCCGAGAACATGCAGTATTCAGTGAGTCAAAAGTACTCTTGAGATGTTCTCAGAATTCAGGTGGAATTCACTCAAGGTCCTATTTTGGCTCTCATAGACTTAATGTATCTCAACTTGAGCCAACATTTGAGCAACTGATAACCAGTTCCATAGTCGGTCCCTGGACTCATTTTGGCTAATGATATCTTAAGTACTGCATTTCCACTATTTGTAGTTTGTACTAAATTTAAGTTTAATGCTTCAAAACATATGAGGCATATGGCTCATTTACAATTACTGATGGTGGCTTAGCATTTTCTAGACCCTTTATAAAGAAAACATCTCCTTTTTTCCACAAAGAAAAAATGTTTTCTTAGAAGGAAAACATTTTCCCAGGTTAGAATACGATTTTTAAATAAATACACACTGATTTCATATGTAAAAGAAATACATGAGGGTATCCCAAAAAACCTGATGCTCATTTGTTTTTTGATGTGAGGGGGATGGTGCATTTGAGTTTATTCCACCAGAGTAGATTGTTAATCAAACATTCTATTTATATGTTCTGAAAAGACGGCATAACTGTGTGTGACAAAAAAGGCTTGGTTTGTGGCAGACGGGGGACTGGTTTTGCCACCATGACAATGCACCTGCTCACACAGCCATCTCAGTGCACCAGTTTTGGGGCAAAAAAAAACAACAGCATGCTTCTCTTGCCCCATGCACCTCACTCCATGCGACTTCTTTTTGTTTCCACGAATGCAGAGGGACATGAAAGGACAGTATTTTGATGACATAGAAGAGGTGAAGGAAAAAATAAGGGAGGTTCTGTCAGTCATCCAAACAGATGAGTTTGAAAAATGTTTCCAAGAATGGAATCGCAGATTTGGCTAATGTATTCAGTGTAATGGAGTGTACTTGAAGACAAGAAAGCTGTTTTGTAAAAAAAAAATTTAAATACATAGCTTGGGGTGGCGAGGGGATTCCGGTTTGGTGGGGATACCCCCTTGTAGAATTCAGTAAAAATGTTTACTGTATCTTTAGTCTCTTCCATTCTGTAGACACTACTGACGCTTTTAGTATTTGGGAATGAGAGTCTTAACACAATGAACTATAAGAAGTTCACATACCTGAGAGCTCTTCCCATGGTCTCATAATTCATATCAGGTTTATTTTTATGCTTCCCCCACAGCCTGGACACGGCTTTGGAATCTACCAATTTAAAAATGCCCTTTTCTCGCTGGGTCCACTTGATGTATTTAGGACAGGTAGCTTTGTCCTGCAGCAGTGCCAGTAAAAACTCCCAAAGATATATTGTGTTCCCTGAAACAAAGCAATTTCTTTTTAACTGAACAAAATTTCGTGGGAAAGAACACAATAAAATATAACTGAAAACCCTTATAAAGTTACATCCAAAATTACATAAAAATACCACATAATTCAGCTAGGTTTCTGTGACATAAAGGTCATAATTTAGCATCTGCTATAATTCTTTTCATTGGTCCCTTATTAGATAGCTGAACAGATCAATCTTGTCAATCAGATTTGTGATGACTGAGTTAGAAAGCTTACTTTGAGACAGTTTTTCTGCCTCTTTCAGAACCATTACACTAAACAGTAGAAAAACGGCATAAAACCTTTCAATAGTTGTTCTCTTTATATTAGCAAAAACACACCAGCCATATAGAAATTTTCTTCAACTTTGGAAAGTAAATATTAGAACATTAAAACATAATAAAGTACCTTGCCACCTAGCCTGACTAAATTCTTCCAGGAGCCTCATTACACAGTGAAAGAATGGTTCCTAATAACATGGAAGTGACAATCACTCAGACTTCTTGAAGGACATCATCATCCATCTCTACAGAAAGTGCTAACGATAGCTTAGAAGCATGTGGCAGCAATAAACTCCATTTCAATATGTAACGTAAGCTGGTGGTGTCTACTTATAGCATGCAGACACTCTCCTGCAGCGGAATGTTGCTTGACCGGTGCATGTCACAGGGAAACTGTGGTCCTACTTACCCTTCCCATCTTTGCTTTTCTTCCTCACAGATATGTTTGGTGTGGCGGCTGGGGAATCTGGTCGTGGTGGTTTACTTTTTCTCCCTGAAATCAGAATAGCTCTGAATAAATGTTTGCCCTCAAAAGTGAAAGAGAATGGACAGTATAGCTGTTCATAAAATGCTATTTTAATATTTATCCTGAATTGCAAGTGACAAATACTTCGGTCACAAATATTGGCCTCCTAAAATGCTGTTTACCAGAAGCAAAATAACCTTAGCAATAGTTGAATATTAATGTAGGTTAGCTTACAAAATAGATTTATTTAGGAAATTACATTTCACCTATATAAAAATAAGATTAAGTTTAAAATACTTTGTCTTTAATATAAACCAACCAATACTGGCATGATTTCCTTACAATTTTGGAGAATATTCTTGAGACTGATAATTTTGGGTTCAAAAAAATAAGCCGTGTAGGATTGGCTGTTTTGGGGTTATATAAATTTTCTTAAGGCAAGAGTGGATTTTCAGCTTTTCTCTTCTAAAAACATCTTTGTGTACAGCTAGTTCTCAAATACTGGACATTTCTCAAAACTCTAGGGATACAGAAAATATGTGAGCAAAACTCTGGTGGACCACATCGCTAAATCTTACTTTCCTGTATGTTTATAACATCTCAGTTTTCGGTACTACTTTCTTGACGGCAAACAAACTTTTGGGTGATCCATCATTCCTTTGCCGCTTAGAAGGAATTGCAGCTTGGTGACAATGTTGCCTGTGAGTCAAGTTGAGATGATCAGGCTGTCTGAACAGACTACTCTTCTTGTGAGGAACAATACAGATTAATCATAAATGGCTATTTCAGCTCATACCTCCTACCCCAATATTCCTGACACTGACTATCTGCACTTGATCATAAGGGCAAGCTGTGGACCGAGTGAGGGCAGGAAATAAGGATTCTAGACCTATGGTCCTGATTAGTAACAAGCCATCCCCACAGAAACTGAATAGGTAACCATTTTTGAAATTAGAGGTAAGGAGGAGGAGATCAAAAGGGATACTCTTCTAGTCTTATACCCCTGCCAAGATTGCCTAATGTATGAATGTAGAAATCAGTCAACCAGCTATCTCAACTTCCACAACTATAGCTACAGAAAGTCTATTCATGAAGCAGCTGTTTCTGGCTGGCTAGGTTGAATGATAACAAGTATTATAAGGCAAGTCTTACTGGATGCTAGAATCTATAACTTCCTACTATCATGCTTTGCCTATTTTGCCTGCATTTTCCTGGGCTCTATTGCTTCTATTCTTAAACCTGTCTATTCTTAAACAGTAATATTTTCTTTGTTCCCACTGTTTCCCTCTGCTGATTTAAGTCATGGCAGACACTCGTTAGCCTACCCTAATCCCCAGTCTTCCCATCATCTTCTCTACTTTGCAAGATGGCGATGTACACAGCTTCACATGAACTCTAGAGAATTTCTGATCAGCGGTTACTTCTTCTCAGCACTCTGAAGATACCCAACCCTTTCAGTTTTTATTTGAAAGATTCTATGATTCCAATCTAATAATCATTCCTGTTTAAGCATTGTAGTTTCTCCATGGTTTGTTTCTGTTTACTTCTGGGGGGAGGAGGGGAGAAAATAAAGGGGTCTTTGTTGCTCTGTACGGTCATTGTATTTATAGTGTACAGATTTATTTTCACTACCCCGAGGATTCGTCCTGCTGAGGAGTCATGTCATTCTGAGAAGTGCTTAAGTCATTTTCTCTTTGAAGAGCTTCTTCCTCACTCTGTAGACTCTATCTTCATAGAAATTTGAAGAAATGTCTGAAGCTTTGCATTTAATCCTCTACTCCTTCAACTCATCTATATATATATATATTTTTTTTTTCCGCGCAAGCTCTGTTTTATTACGTGGGATTTTGCAGCGGAACTAGGGTGCTTTAAAAATTGACTGCCTGGGCCCGGGGAGGCTCTCTGGCCCCTCCCCGCCAAGATCTCTGAGATAACAGCTGGGTATCAAATGACTTTAGACTTTATCTGAAGGAAAGGTACAAATGGAAGAATGGAAGTGGATGCTTGGGTACAATTCCTAGAAAAGGGACAGGTCTACCCCACATGCATGCGCTGCCTTGGTGACTTGGAGAAGGCCAGGCTGCCGCTTAGCTCTCTCCATCACTGTCTCCCAAGGTGTGCTTGTCGAAGAGATACTCGGCCAGGCCGGAATTTGGGGCCCCCATCTTGCGCAGGTTGGTGACGTAGTAGCCCAGCTCTTTGATGGATTTCACCTGCTCATCCAGGTACTGTGTTTCGATGAAGTCACGGAGATGGGGGTCGTTCTTGTCCAGTGGCCAGTTTGTGCAGCTCCAGCAGGGACTGGTTGACACTCTTCTCCAGGTGCAGTGCACACTCCACGGCGTTGAGCCCACTCTCCAGTCTTCCCGGTCTGGTTTCTTGATATCCTGGAGGAAGATCCGGGCCCCTCGCTGGTTCTGCAACTTCATCAGTTTCTCGGTGTGTTCTCGCTCCTCGTGAGACTGGTGCAATAAGTAGTGGCAAAGTTCTTCAGAGCCACGTCATCCCGGTCGAAGTAGTAAGACATGGACAGGTAGACGTAGGAGGCGTAGAGCTCCGGTTGATCTGGCGGTTGATGGCGGCCTCCGAGTCCTGGTTGTAGTTCTGGCGCCCCTGATAGGGAGGCGCGGTCACGGTGGAGGTGGAGGAGGCCTGGGGGCGTCGAGAGTGCGGCTGAGAGGTGCTGCTGGGCGGCAGGTTGGCGTGGGGGGGTGGGGCGGGGAGGCTGGCGAGCGCTGGGTTCCGTTCAAGCACTGTTGAAGCAGACCTCGGCGGTTCTGCGGCGAACATCTGGCCTCGTCTATATTTTTAACTCAACATCAGATCTATAATGGAGTTCACCAGTACTCTTTTATAAAATCTATTGTTTAGTAAGTGTACTTGTTTTTTTATTTTCATTTCTGTAAGTTCTATTTGTCCTTTTAAATATATCACTTGGTCTTTTAAAAGAACAGCTTTATTGAAGTATAACTGATATAAAATAAAGTGCTATAATTTGGTATGCCTTGGTACGTTTAGGTGAAACTGTCATCATATCAAGCTACTGAACACATCTGTCACTGGAAGTTTCCATTCTAACACTGGGGTCTGTCTGTTGCTTCACTCTCAGTGGCTTCTTCACATGTGGTGTCATAAGCAAATGTGAGCCCACCTGCAACAGGAATTTGTCTAGAAATCCTGTGTGTCCTTCCTGAGCAATTGTACAAGAACTTTGCCAGATAGCCCAAAGTTATCACCATCCTGGGGCAATTGTGTTAATTATTTGGATGAGAAGTATCAAAATAAACAAGCTTCTGTGACATTTATCTGCGCCTCTTCGCAGAATCTCCCACTCACAGGCCACCCTCACTCACCCTACCACCAAGTCCTAGGAGTATGAGCCCCTAGGACAAGGGTGTCAAACTGGTGGCCCGCAGGCCGCGTGAGGCCCCCGAGGTAATTTTTTGTGGCCCACGATGCTCTGAAATAAAATGAAAATAGAAAAAAATGTTATGAAGAAAATAGCTGTTAGCGGAGGGTGAGACAATATATACACAATTCCCTCGTTACATTTTATTTCAGAGCATCGTGGGCCACAAAAAATTAACTCCTGGCCCATGGGCTGCCAGTTTGACATCCCTACCCTAGGACATCACTCTAGTTTATATCTGGAGGTCTCTATCCAATATGATCTTGCAGGGATCCTAGACCTAAGCTTCTGCTTCAACATGGGCCACAAAATGCAAGTCCTTTGGACACTAAGACCAGCTTATCCTTCCTTAACCCTTCAGAGAAGCTGTTGTGTCAGATCATTCTTAGTGTTTTTAGTTTCCTTCACTCTGGCTTTGGTAATTTCCCCTACTTAGGTTGAAGGTTGGTTGATGATACCATTAACCAAGATATTAAACTGAAAATATTACGCCAGCTGGAGTAGAATCAGAAGGCAATGACACAGGAGTGCTAGACTTCAGAAGGCATATGTTGCCCTAACTTGTAAAACATTTAAAATCTCAATTTTACACATTCTAACTTTTTTCTCTTCAATTATTTATCTGGCTTCCAACTCATATTTTTTCCAGATGAAATCTTATATTGGAATCTATACTGATAACTTTTCAAACTATGCGTATTGGAAGGAAGCAGACCTACACTTGCCACCACATTCTGGGTTTTGATAAAAGAGTTTAGATCTAAATCTGATGCATTAAAAAGTTGAAAGATACCTTTTCTGTAAGGTCAAATGCTTTAAAGGCATTAAATAACCTGCTCATAAAACAAAACAGATATGAAAGTGCCTCTCAATGTGACCTTAATTTTGTTCTACATAAAGCCTTTATTTATTTATTTTTATCTTTCTTTTTAAAAAAAATCATTTTATTAGAGGCTTATACAACTTGTATCACAATCCATACATACATCAATTGTGTAAAGCACATTTGTACATTCATTACCCTCCTTATTCTCAACACATATGCTCTCCACTTAAGCCCCTGGCATCAGCTCATTTCCCCCCCTCCTTCCCTGCTCCCCTCTCCCTCATAAACCCTTGATAATTTATAAATTATTATTTTGTTATATCTTACACTGTCCAACGTCTCCCTTCACCGATTTTCTGTCATAAAGCTTTTTAAGATGCCTTTTATTTTATTAGTTTTAACTGCCTCCTCATGTAGAAATATCCTGGAGTAAAAATAATATTTAGATTTCATATCAAGCTATGACCATACAGGAACTAAGCACCCACCTTTTTTCCTCTTAGGTGGTTCTGGTGATGAGGTTCCTGGTGAGTCTACAAACGCCTCTTGAACTGGCTCCGTTTCCATCACTTCAGGAATCCCGTCTAGCGTGACAGATACATGGGTGACTGGGGCAACAACGATGTCATCTTCAGATGAACTAAATATATTATTATCTAATGAAAATAAAATCAATTAGTTACAAACTTTTATTGTAATTCAAAATCATTTCACAAACAATTTCCTGTCTCTATGAAGACTAAAGAAGAAATAAAATCATGAAACCTACTCCCAGTTTTACATTTCCAAAATCAGGAACCATCTTCACTAGACTATGTCAGCATCTTTCTTAACAGGCTTCCTATCACTAGCCTATCTTGTCTCTCTTCTGCATTCTTTACACTGCTGCTAAAGTAATCTTCTCCAACTTAACTCTGATCTAACCATGCTGCTTTTCTGTACAGAAACTTTAGAAAGAATAATGAAATTAGCATACTTTCCCACTGTTTACAAGGGGACTGAACGGGGGGACAACTCAAATTCTATTGCATGATATTCTTCCACAATGTAAACCAAGCCTACTTTTCCAATCCTATCTCCCATCCACAAAGCTTACACTCCAGTTATATCCACCAACGAAAAAAATGTATGTCTCATACATTTTTTAAAAACATGCATCTTTGGCTCGTATAATTCTTCCTTAAGTGTCCTTTTCTTATCTGCGCTAATCCATTAGAACAGTGGTTCTCAACCTGTGGGTCACGACCCCTTTAAGAGTTGAATGACCCTTTCACAGGGGTCGCTCGATTCATAACAGATACAAAATTACAGTTATGAAGTAGCAACGAAAATAATTTTATGGTTGGGGGATCACTACAACATGAGGAACAGTATTAAAGGGTCATGGCATTAGGAAGGTTGAGAACCACTGTATTAGAAGTAAATTCATCATTTATAGCTCAGAACAAAATACTTCCTCCATAAAACCTTAACTGATATCCCCAATTCGTTAATACTTTCTGCTTCCCGAAGTCTTTATTATCACTTTCATAGGCTTTAATTGGTTTTTACAGTTGTTTACATGTTGTTTGTCAATTCCTAACACACTGTGTATGCTGTTGCTTGTCAATTCCTAACACACTGTGTATGCTGTTGCTTGTCAATTCCTAACACACTGTGTATGCTGTTGTTTGTCAATTCCTAACACACTGTGTATGCTGCTGTTGGTCAATTCCTACTCGAGGTAACCAGACTGGTATGCTTGCTCCATAGGACTTTTTTACTGTCATCTTAATGAAAGCCGATGGCTAGGCCTTTTCTTCTGCAGGACCACTGCAGACGTTCAAGCAGAAATCAAGCACAAACTATTTGTGCCACCCAGAGACCTCACTATATCGAAACTAAATCCACTGCCATCGAGTTGATTCCGGAGTACAAGGTTATTGTTGTGGTTAGGTGCCATCAGGTCGAATCTAATTCACAGTGACTCCATGCACAACAGAGTGAAACATTGCCCGTTCCTGCGCCGTCCCCCAAATTATTCTTATGTCTGAGCTATTGGTGCAGCCGTTGTGTCAATCCAATTTGTCAAGGGCCTTTTCTTTTTGGCTGCACCTCTACTTCACCAGACATGAGGTCGCTCTCCAGTGACTGGTCTCTCCTGATAGCAAATCCCAAGTATATGAGACGAAGTCTCACAATCCTTGCCTCAAGGAGCGTTCTGGCTGTACTTCTTCCAAGATGGATTTATTTGTTATTTTGGCTATTCATGATACTGTCAATATTCTTTGCCAGCACCATCATTCAAATGTACCTTATAGGACTGAGTAAGACCGTCCCATAAGGTTTTCAAGGCTATACATATTTGTGGAAGTAGATTGCCACATCTTTCTCCCATGGAGTGCTAGAGTTTGAATCCGTGCCTTTTCTATTAGCACCCAGGTGTTTAAACCAGCGCTACCATGGTTCTTTGCTACATATCCCCACTGCCACCAAATTGATTCTGACTCAAATGTGTTGCTTAAAATTAAAAAAAAAAATGTGTGACCCTCTAAAGCAGTGGCTCTCAACCTTCCATATGCCACGACCCTTTAATGCAGTTCCTCATGCTGCGGTGATCCCCAACCACAAAATGATTTTCGTTGCTACTTCAACACTGTAATTTTGCTACTGTTATGTATCGGGCGACCTCTGTGAAAGGGTCGTTCGACCTCCAAAGGGGTCGTGACCCACAGGTTGAGAACCGCTGCTCTAAAGGGTTTCTGAGGCTATAACTCTTTATTTTTTATTAAACATTTTATTAGGGGCTCATACAACTGTTATTACAATCCATACACACATCAATTGTGTAAAGCACATTTGTACATCATTCTCAAAACATTTTCTCTCCACTTAAACCCCCAACATCAGGTCCTCATTTTTCCCCTCCCTCCCTGCTCCCCGCTCCCTCATGAGCCCTTGATAGTTTATAAATTGGTATTTTGTCATATCTTGCCCTGTCCGACGTCTCCCTTCACCCACTTTTCGGTCGTCTGTCCCCCAGGGAGGAGGTCACATATAGTTCCATGTAATCGATTCCCTCTTTCCTACCCATTCTCCCTTCACCCTCCCTGTTTCGCCACTCACACCACTGGTCCTGTAGGGCTCATCCGCCCTGGATTCCCTGTATTTTCAGTTCCTATCTGTACCAGTGTACATCCTCTGGTCTGAGGCTATAACTCTTATGGAAGCAGATAGCCTCATCTTGCTACGGCAAAGGAACTGGTGGCTTTGAGCTGCCAACCTTGTCGTTAGTCATCCAATGCTTACCTGAGAGTGTCACACGGGTCCCTTTAATATAATAACAGTTACATGGCATAAAGCATTCACTTTTTAGTGAATTTTTGACTACTCATTGATAACTACCTACAGAGACAACTGAGATATGAATATTCTAAACACGTCCACCAACCAAGTTAAAAGAAATTCGACATAATCTGCCATGTGGCAGCTAATGAAATATTTTATTGTTTCTAAAAAATTCCCTGAATTAAAAAAAAAGAGATTTGCTTCAATTAGTGCTATGCTTAAAATACTGCAGACTTATTTGTGAGACTAAGAGAGAAATGAATGTCTACTGTATTGTTGTGAAGGTTTACACAGCTGTTTAGGTTCCCATTCAACAATTTCTATACAAATCGTTCAGCGACCTTTTCCGCAATGTGTGAGTGACCATTTGCATTAGCTCCGTTCTGAGTACTCCATTTCCATGAATCTCGTTTGCCTACCTCATTTACACTCTTAGCCGTATCTTTCAGTAATTCTTGACTAGTTGGTCTCACATAGGAGTTCAGTAAGTATGGGTGATATTCATGCTTGTTGGAGACAATTTGTTATTAGCTATAAGGTGGCTCAGAGGTTAGTTTCAGTTTCAGGTCTGGAAAGTATCTCACGACAACAGTCTTGGTGAGTCAGGAGAAATAGTACTCATGGGTCAGAGAGCCTTTATCACCCTTTTAAAAAGCCAAAAAAGTACACATCATATAATGTGTACTTAAGATGTCCCAGATACTGTATAACACACCTGAGACAAAAAATATAAACTATGGTCTCCAACACCTTGATATTTCCTACCCAATACAGAGGGCACAAAAGCACCTTTACAAAGCATTTACACAGGAACAATCACAACACATATCCACGCACTTAGTCGTTTTTCATCCAGCATCGAGCCAGGCGAATCCATATTGAGGAGTGCCTCGGCAGCCTCGATGGTTTCAATCGTTTCATCCCCGTCTTGACAGGAAGCTTCCACTGTAATACATTTATAAGGAAAAACAAAGCAGAATTAGCTACAAGACATCTGCTACTCTGAAACTCATAGACTGCTCATCTCTCAAACTAGAATATAGCATAGTTGGGTTTATATACACACTTTGCACCAACATAAAATCTGCACAGAATGTAAATGCCAAGCAATTGCTTAGGTTTAGAAAAATAAAAACAATTTTGCAAGATTCTGGGGGGCAAAAAGGCAAGCAAAAGAGAACTCACAGTTTGGAGGAAAGGCAATAGTAGTTTCCCAGGAACTTTTATATTTTCAAGAACTAAGATGGGTATTAAGCTTGGGTAGCAAGGGGGCGGGAATGACAGGAATCCCAGCTGTGCCACCATCTAGTTCAGTCATGCCCTAATCACTTTGCCTCTGTAGAACTCAATCTGCAATGAGCCTGGGTTGCTATTCTAAGGTCCCCTGCAGCTCTAAATTTGACTCCAATACTGTCAGTTCACTGATAATGAACAAATCTATATTTTTTAAGGAAGCGTGAGAACATTTTAATTTACAAATAGGATTTGGATAGCTCCCCTACCCCACACCCTCCAATTAGAAAGGAGGATAAAAGCCTTAATGAGAGAAGAACATTTTGGAGATTAAGGCCCCCAGATAAGGGGGGGTGTGTGTGTGCCATGGAGGATCAGGACTGGGAGAGGACAGGTCTTGGAGCAACGTGAAGCAGTCCTGCACTTAGCAGTTACTGGCACAGCCTGCGCTGAGTGGAGTTGCTTTCTCAGGTAATGGGTCGTCATTGAGATGTGACTTGCATTTGCATTGCTACTCAAAGCAAAGGTGATTCCTACGATGCACATGATTCCGGCACAGATCAACCTGCCAAGCTGGAGGTTTTCCCAGTCATAATAGAAGGGACTGTCTCTATCAATACTGTCACTGGCTGTCAAGGCAGGCAGGCAAGTCAGCAGAAGACCCCATGTCACAACACTGGCAGGGCAGGGGCTGGGCTCCACTCACTTCAGAGGCCAGTGTAAAAGAGACGGTCTGGAGAGGCTGCCGAGTCTGTGGAAAGATCGGATGGGTCCAGGCTCTTTGTGACAGCAATTAAGCGCAGGGAACAATCCCTGTAGCTGAGGAGCTGGTCTGACTCCTTGATCTTCCCCTAACTCCTTCATCCAGTTACTCTTAAGGCGGCAGCTTGTCGACCCTATTTCTAACCGTCGATTCTGACCGATAGTCACTCCATAGGGCAGAGGACTGCTTCAGAGCGTTTCCAAAGCTGCGATCTTTACAGAAGCAGACTGCCACATTTTTTCCCTTCAGAATGGCTGGGGCTTCAAACCGCTAACCTCTCAGTTAGCAGGAGCTTAACCTCTGCATCACCAGGGCCCTCAGGAATAAGGATCGGTCTCTGTTAATCTTGCTTTCCCATTCCTCTATCATTAGTAACTTATCATCACTTCCAAGAATTAACCACAGCCACATTAGTAGAACTGGAACAGCCTCTGGTAATTATAGCATTCTGGTCTCATTCTTCTCTAAGGTGGACTATAAGATCTTATTAACCTCAGATTAAGCCTGACCCTAAGTTTTGTTTTTACTAAACTTTTTAAAAAATCATTTTATTGGGGCTCATACAACTCTTATCACAACCCACACATACATCAATCATGTAAAGCACACTTATACATTCGTTGCCCTCATCTTTCTTAAAACTCGCTTTCCGTTTGGGCTCCTGGAATCAGCTCCTCATTTTCCTCCTCGCCCCTCCGTCCCCGCTCCCCCCCCACTAAACTTTTTTATTTTTATTTTTTATAAGTATATTTTGTTTTTGTGTCCTTTCTGTGTTTTGTTTGTTTGTTTGTTTCTGTTTTTCTTATGACAAGATCATTGCATCTCTTTTAACTGAGCAGCTCTTGCCCAGCATTATTTTTTTTTTAATCATTTTATTAGGGGCTCATACAACTCTTATCACAATCCATGCACACATCAACTGTGTAAAGCGCATTTGTACATTCATTGCCCTCATCATTCTCAAAACATTTGCTCTCCACTGAAACCCCTGGCATTAGGTCCTCATTTTTCCCCTCCCTCCCCGCTCCCCCCTCCCTCTGTACATCCTCTGGTCTAGACAGACTTGCAAGGTCGAATTCAAGTCATGGTAGTGGGAGTGGGGAGGAATCATTTAGGAACTAGAGGAAAGTTGCATTTTTTCATCGTTGTTACATCGTACCCTGACTGGCTCATCTCCTCCCCTAGACCCCTCTGCAAGGGGATCTCCAGTGGCCTACAAATGGGCTTTGGGTCTCCACTCCGCACTCCCCCCATCATTCACTATGGTAAGATTTTTTGTTCCTATGATGCCTTATACCTGATCTCTTCGACACCTCATGGTTGCTTAAGCTGGTGTGCTTCAGCTATCAAGCTCAGAAGCAACAAAGCCCACGTGGAAGAAGCCCACTAAACTTTTTTAAATGAGTTGTGTAAATGAAAAATAATCCAAGTTCATACTGGATCTTGAAACATCTCTGAAATCTAACACAGATGTCCCATATAGTGGCAGAATGAATTCATATATGACTTGGGCATCTTACCCCCAGGATCACCACTATCAGGCTAACTGAGGGGAAAAAATAATTTTAAAAAGGCTAAATGAAGAACAACCAGTGCCCTTCTTTCACGAGTAAATTCACCTCCTAATTCAAGGATTAGGCACCTAGCTTAATTTGTTTTAAAAGCCTTAAGTTTTACACTTAGTTATCTGAATGTGACATGCATAAAACCGGGATGCTTTATAGTTATTACTAAATTCCCCATACTTGTGATAAAAATTACCCAGGCTCTTTTTCAAGTTTTCACACAGACATAAAATCATGGCTTTCAGATTCATGGTTGGACTGACAGTATATAAGCTTCTAAATTTTATACTAAGATAAAACATAAATATCAACAGAGCACTTAAAATTGTTTTTTTCCCCCCGAATCAACAGAAGGAAAATGATCATCCCACATTGTCATTTCTCTACATTCCTAATTAATCAGAAAAGGACAAAGCATATTTCCCTTTTCACTATTAGGACTATATAATCAGATAACAAAGAAATTGACAGCTCTTCAAAATGTAGCATAGCTTTCCATTAGAATGCTGTAACAGGCCTCATTCCATACCCTTTTCAGGCATCCTCAAACTGCAGCTCACCGAGGACATTTATCTGGCCCACTGGGTGTTTTTGCCCCATTTGTTTTTTCACTTCAAAATAAGATATGTGCAGTGTGCATAGGAATTTGTTCATAGTTTTTTTAGAAACTATAGTCTGGCCCTCCAATGGGTCTGAGGGACAGCGAACTGGCCCCCTGTTTAAAAAGTTTGAGCACCCCTGATTTAGGTATTTCACATTTTCTTTAATAAAAGAACTCTCAGAACCAACAAACATTTTCTTTCTTTTTTTTCCCCTTTTAGCAATTTTTTAAATGGTCTTATTAGGGGCTCATACAACTCTTATCACAATCCATCCATACATCAATTGTGTAAAGCACATTTGTACATTCATTGCCCTTATCATTCTCAAAATCAACAACCATTTTCAACAAACTCCAAGTTCTCAACTGAAAAC